TTTTGTGGTTCTGATATCCTGGATTATTATTCGCCGCTGTATGAAAAAATTGTAAATTCTACAGAGGTATGTGACAAATATTATAAAACATTCTGCACTCGCTTTTTTTCATAGCCACCTACTCGTTAGGTCCACAGCTTTTATATTCAATAAATACTGCTGAATATTGGTGAATGTTTATTGTTGGTAAAAATTGAATCTAGTGTGTGACGAAACACTGTATCAGCAACAAGGCAAATATGAAAATTTATGATATGGACAATGTTGCCAGATATTTACAAGTTCAATCGATGAAAAGTCTACTGAGAAACTAGAATATATCAGAATGTTGGGCTAAGACTAGAAATATCTCATAAGTTGTATATTTTTGAAAAGCGAAAAGCATCAATGTTTCAAATGAGGAAAAATATGCGTGATGTTCCATTTGAAAAAACATAACTTTGGATTGATTATATCTGAATAATAACAGCTTATTCTGAAATTCTGATTACGCCACTGGATTCTACGTGAAAAATGACAAACACTTTCGACTTTTTCGATGAATTGGGAGATGGTTGAGATACAAGAAGGGTCCCGAAATGCAGCATTTTCAATTTCGCCCTGTATTTCAAAAAGGCAGCAGGCTACAAAAACTTGGTTAAGGGTATCGTGAGTTTCACTAAAAAGAAGCCCACGTTTGCGAAAATGGAAAATCTCTATTTTAGAAAATAAATGAGATACCTATCCCGTTATGACATCGAAAATGGGACAGCCTGTACAGGGTATTCACGAATATTTAGAACCCCTACTCAACTTTTTTATGTATTGTCAATTTTATTAATCCAAGAAACTTTCTTCAATACTCTTCCTTTAAATTTTCAAATTTTATATATGCCAATGAAAAAACTGACTATTTTTTTAAAAGTTCAACTGTTTTTCTGTTGGTTTATACAGAAAAAATATGAGAGATCGTTCTTGGAAACAAAATCGAATGATACATGAAAAAATAAGCAGGGGTTCAGTACAAAATACTGAAGAACTGTCAACAGTAACTCTTCATGAATAGATATGTTGTATTCATTTCAAACTAATCAATGCCACGCTGTTTCAATTAAGACTTCCAATTAGGAACTGATGATAAGTGTATATGCACAACAGAGTTATACATCAGGAATTGATCATGAATATAACTGCAGAACGCATTTCAAACTCATAAATGCCACTGTAGTACAATGAGAAACTCTGATCAGGAACTGATTATGAATGTATCTGCAGAACACAGTTCATACTCATAGTTAGTTAATATGGAATTTCTATGAGGAACTGATTATGAAAGTATCTGCAATAAACATTTCAAACTCATAAATGCCACTGCATTCCGATAAGGAGTTCTGATCAGGAACTGATTATAAATCTATCTGCAAATCAGAGTTCATATGGAATTGCTATGATGAACCCATTATGAATGCATGTATCTACAATACACATTTTGAACTCATAAATACCACGGTATTTTAGTGATAAATTCCGATTAGTGACTGATTATGAAATGTATCTGCAAAACAGAATTCATACTCGTAGATTTCATATGACTGTGCTATAATAAGCTATCTATGAATGTATCTGCAATACACACGTTGAACTCATAAATGCCAAGGTATTTGAAAAAAATCCCGATTAGGGACTAATTATAATTAATGTATCTGCAAAACAGCGTTTATTGTCATACACTTCGAGAGAAATTGTTATTAGGAACTGATTATAACTGTATCTGTGAAACACAGATTATACTCATAGAGTACGTGAAAAACTGCCAATAGGAACTCATTATGATTGTTCCTGTGAAACACATTTCAAACTGTTAAATGCCACGGTAATTCAATGAGGAATTCCAATTAGGAACTGATGATAAGTGTATCTGCAAAACAGAGTTATACTCTAAGTGTTCCTGAGGAATTGCTATTAGGTATTGATTATGAATGTACCAGCAGGATACATTTCAAACTCATAAATGCCACTGTGCTCCAATAAGGAATACCGATTAGGAATTGATTATGGATGTTTCTGCAAGACAGAGTTTATACTAATAGAGTTCATACGGAATTGATATAAGAAACTCATTCTGAATGTATCTGCAACACACATTTCAAACTCATAAATGCCACGGTATTTCAATAAGAAATTATAATAAAGAACTGATTGTGAATGTATCTGCAAAACAGTTTATACTCAAAAATTCCCATTATAAATGTATCTGCAATACACATTTTCAACTCATGAATGCCACGGTATTTCAATGAGAAATTCCAATCAGGCACTGATTATACATGTATCAGCAGAACAGAGTGCATACTCAAAGACTTCGAAAAGAATTGCTATTAAGAACTGATTATAAATGTATCTGTGAAACACAGCTGATACTCATTGAGTACATGAAGAACTGTCAATAGAAACCCATCATGAATGTACCTGTCAAACACATTTCGAACTGATAAATGCTACGGTGTTCCAATGGGGAATTCAAATTAGGAACTGATGATGATTGCTATAAGGGACTCATTATGAATGTATCTGCAATACACATTTCAAACTCATAAATGCCACGTTAATTCAATAAGAAATTGCAATTAGGGACTGATTTCAAATGTATCTGCAAAACAGAGTTCATACTCATAGAGTTGCTATTAGAAACTCATCATGAATGTATATGCAGAACACATTCCGTTCTCATGAATGCCACTGTGTTTCAATGAGGAATTGCCATCAAAATCTGATTATAAATGTATCTGTAAAACATAGTTCATACTCAAAGACTTCGTTGGAAATTGCTATTAGGAACCGGTCATGAAGAACACATTTCAAAATCATGAATTACGATGTTTTAATAAGGAATTGCCATTTAGAACCGATTATGAATGTATCTGTGAATTACAGTTCAAACTCATCGACTCCATTGAGGATTGCCATTAGGAACTGATTATAAATGTAACTGCAGAATACATTTCGAGCTTATAAATTACTGTTTCACTATCCAACTTGACTCTGATATATTCTCATATGTAAATAACCAGGAATTACAAGTAGGAACTGATTATGAATATATCTGCGAAAAACAGTTCATACTTTCAAGAAGAAGGGAGAGAATCGCCATTAGGAACTGATTATACATGGATCTGCAAAATACATAGTATTATACGGAATTACTGTTTCACTATCCAACTTCATTCTCATTAATTCTCATATATATATTTTTATAAGTTTCTATGAGACATTTTTGGCAGGGACTTTACACCTCAACAGCTTCTCATGATATACAAAGCGCAGATACGGCCTGTTCTAGAATACTGTTCCCACATATGGGGTTCAGCACCAAAACATACGCTGATGCTCTTAGATTCCATCCAGAGAAGAGCCATTCGCCTGGTGGGTGACTCCACACTCACTCACTCTTTGACATCATTGGAACACCGTAGAAAGGTCGGCGACCTCTTACTTTTCTATCGATACTTCCACGGGAAATGTTCTTCGGAAATCTCTGCTATCATCCCTTCACTAGCAATACCAATCAGACGAACTAGACAAGCCCAGTCAGCACATCCTTTCGTTGTCAACCTCGAAAGATGTCGAACAGCACTTTATCAAGACTCCTTCATCCATAGAACGGCTAGGCTCTGGAATTCATTGCCTGTAGAAGTATTCCCAACAACATATAATCTCCAAAAGTTCAAAACAAATTCCAATACCTACCTCCTGTCCCTATCCTCCCTAGGAACGCGCGATGTTCTTTGAACATTATAGGGATTCCCTTTCGTGCGCTCCAAGCGATAAAAAAAAAGCAGAGGTTGTTTCGAAAATCATTACCATTGGTGATTCTTTCAATATTCTGATATCTTTATATTTTTCCACAAAATACGATTATCCATTCGTGTCAAATGTGATTTTTTATATCGATGAAATCCTGTTTTCTGATTCTCTATCACTGAGTGTACAGAATCTACTTCATTCTGCGTATGTCCCACATCAGGAATGTATGTGTTATACTTAGAATATCATATTAAGAAACAAGGTGCGAGTATGGTGCAGCTATGAATTGATTTTTGTTTTGTCCCATGCAGTTATCTGAATGAAAAACAATGTCTTCTGTTTCATCAAAAACTTTGAGTACAGAATCACGTATGCAAGTCCCGACTTCGTTGACACCTCTATGAGCGACAGCTTCGCTCCACATATGTAACAATATCCATGATCGTTATTCATGTCAAGAAGATACAAATTGAAAGTACTCAGTTTGCTTTTGTAATAAAAATTGGAAATTTCCTCACAAGGAGTAGGCAGAACTGCTTCTGATTATCCTGTTCATCTTTTTCCTGCTGTAGCAAAGTTTTTCCATCTGCATCTAAATTATTTCAATTTTCACAGAAGGCACATTGGTATTTTTTTGGAATGAAAAATCCCAAGTTGTAATGATGATTAAAAATGTTTTCATACGTGCTTATCTTTGCAAATTGAGAATCATTTTGTCTGGCTTGTTCTACATAGAGGCGATGAATGGTTGCAATATTCAAACAACCGTCTATGTATTCACGTGTTGTTTCGTAAATAGTAGGATTCTATCCGTGGAAAACTCAATGTGCTCATCTCTCTCATAGCTGGATCCAATTTCATTTGCTCACCGTGTTTCCTTCTCTGATCTTCAAGAAGTCATTCTTCATTCAAGCAATAGTAGTTCTTCAATTGATCCCTTTGTGATAATGACTGGGATGCCTCCAATTCATCACATTGATAGAACATGTGATGCAACACTGATTTGTAGAAGTAACATGTTATATTTTAGATGCAAGTTGCAAACTGGGTACCTCATGATACTAAAAACACAAATAAACTGAAATCTGTAAAACAGGTATCATAAGTCTCTTGATATAAAGAAACATAAATATTGTTTCTTATAATATTCATTCTGAATCTACTTATAACAACATGGAAATGAGACTTTTGATATTAAAACGTAATGCTGCATAAGTTCATCTTCGATTCTCATCTTCTCTTTTCTCAGCGTTCTTTTCAAACGATTCAAACATCTCCCTTTTCAAGGCCACCTTTTCCTCATGCCTCTTTCGTTTTCTCTTATCTATCTCTAAAGCAGATACTGCTCTCATTCTAGTTTCCTCTTCTGGGAATGAATTACTTGATGAAACATTCTCATCGTTCCCATCTTGTACTTGGTATTTTCTAGTACTAGAAGTAGTAGCGATAGGCGAGTGAATTGGGCATCTTTGAGATAAATATCATGCAGATCATTAAAACATTTTCATATTATTGGGGCGCTCCCAGTTTTATTCTTTTCACATCATAGTTTCTCATAAGTATTTTTTTTTCATGTTTCTCCACTTCTCATCACATTTTTTTTCACTTTCGATCTCTCCCTGTTTTCTTAGGTCACTTGAAATTGTATCTCAAACATTCTTCTTGGTGTACATTGGGAAGGAGAATTTCTGCTTATGTGACACATATTTGTATCAATTATTCGATATCATCCTGAGTCCAGGGTACCTCATTTCCATCACTTGGAGAGTTAAAAAAGCCATTTATCTCATTATTTACTCATTTATGTTTGTTATGGTAGTGAATGCGAAATGATACGAAACGTTTACTATTGTCTTTGACATTTCCAGGCCATTATCAAAATTTTGGTTATTAAGAATTCCGTCTGCATTTATTTGTGGTATAAAAATGTAAGGAAGATTGGCTTTGAGAGCATTCACGTGTATTATGTTAGCTTCGTGGAGATCGTGGCTTCTTGAAAATTCTCATTCGGAGGATCATTTTCAAGGGCGTATGCAGTTTTTGGGAATTAAGTTCCTGCGGAAACATCATAATTATTATATTCATCATTTTGAGAAGCATCGTGATAATTATATTCATCTGTAGGCAGATAATTTTGATAGTCTTCATAGAAATCTTGGTTTATGTTTTCAAATGGGCTTTCAAACTGTTCGTCAATATTTTGTGCGTATAGTTGGTTAGAGATGAATTCTGAAGGTGGTTTCATACGAGAATTTCTACAAACAAACCTATGGATACGTCATCATCCATAGGTTCGGGTTTGGTATTCAAGTTTTGATTATTTGGTCGAACGAATTGCCTCGTTTGTTGAGATGGATTTTCACGTCAGGAAAATGGTTGACGTTGAAAATAATTGAACTTTGGTCTTGGGTAAAATTGTTGTGGCTATCGTTGGAGGGGTGAAAGAGCTATTATATTGATTAGTAGGTCGATAAAATGATTGTTGATTTTGAGGACTGAAAGGTGTGTTAGGTTGATATGATGGTCGATTCATATTAACGGGAGGGCATGATTGTTGTGGCTGATTGTTAGAAAAATTCTTTTGAGGTCTGAATGGGTAGTAAGTTTGATTTGGTTGGGTAGGTCTTATAGGAGTTATTCTTTGTGTCGGTTTGAATGATATCTGATAATTCAAAGTATTTGATCGTTGAGTTGAGTAGAAGAAGTTTTCTTCCTCGATCACAAAACTCATGGCTCTTTCAAGACTCTCAGGGTTTCTTAGTCTTACGTTTGTTTGTAACTGTCCGGGAAGTCCACGTATAAATGTTTTCAGAGATAGATCATTCTAATTTTTGAGCCGAACATGTTTCTCTTCTGCGGACATAACTAAAGTATTCAATTTCGAAATGATCAGACTTCTTGCGTCTTGGCAAAGCATACCGAAATTGTATGGGCTCTCATTTCTTGATGGTCTCAAAAAACTTAGGCCCTGCAACAAACAATCAATATTACGTTGATTGCCAGAACTAAGTAACAAAGCTTGCTTGATTCCTTTCCAACTTGTAAGTTGTGTTCGAGATCCTATTGAAGCAAGGGCTCTACCAGTGAGTTTGCTCGTGATAGCTCTCAGCAGGAAATTATTCATTGCAACATCATTTTGAGTTATGAATGTATTGATGAGACTTTCACAGTTTCCAATGAAAATATTGAGGGTGTGAGGGTTACCATCCTATGGAGGAATCGAATCTCTGTAGAGTCTTAATAATTGATAATTTGTTTCTGGTATTTTAGTTGTTTCTGAATCTATTTGAATTGTTTGTAATAATGTGGTTAGTTATTCTAACTCAGCATCAGTCATAAAAAATTGAATGAGCAGTGATTACAAAAACCATCACTAAAGGTTCTAATAGGGAAATAAATGGAAAATGTAATAGCACTTACAGTAGTATCGTGATTTTCATTCTTTGTTTTTTTTTTTCTGAGTGTTTCTATCCCAGATGCCTATAGGTTTGGAAAGCGATTTTATTCTCCCAGGTATTTCTATTAGCTGCTCAGATTTTGTTTTCCCTCCACACTGTTCACTCGTCTTAGTCCAGTAACGAACCGATCCAACTATGAACTGTCTGTTCTTGATCCTTGATATGCCTTCAAATCTAGTTAATCTTTTTCACTACCGAACTTTTTGTTCCGTATACCGATAAATCGTTGAAACGAAAAACTGCTCGTGCGATACGAACAATTTACGCGACCCTACCGACTGCGCCAGTTACAAATTACTTTCAACAAGGAAAAAAAAACAAAAATCTTTCACATGGTCTTCATTTACTTGCGAACAAGACGAACAACAGGCAAATACTGAATTCAAATATGTGAAATGCTACAGGATGTAAACTCATTTATGATAAGATTACAATTTCGTCGAAATAGCCTGGGAAGTGTCTGTAAGTTTCACAACAATATTCGATAATTACATAACCTGAATGATATGTCTTGGCTTTGAGGGTGAGTATTCACTATAATTCAAGCTTCTTCCATACCCCCCTCCACCAAACTGTTCACTAAACATTAGTAAACTGATTAGTAAACCCATGAGTAAACTCATAATCAAGAACATTTCAAAATAACTCATCTTAAAAATCTATCTATAGCTTCAATCTTCAATCATCATCAATAAACCAAGAATCATCTTCACAATACCATTAATCATCTCCAATACACCATTAATCCATTAACGGCCATGGATAGAAATAAGTCTCAAAATTATTGAAGGATACAGGGTGTTATAAGTACGTGGCCAAACTTGAATGGGTGATTCTTTGAGTGATTCTAAGACGAAAAGTTCATATAAACATAGGTCCGGTAACGCTCCGTTTTCAAGATACAGGGTGTCAAAATTTTTAAAAGAAATCGTTTTTTTCGTAAATATCTTAATAACCCTTCAACCGATTTTATTGAAATTTGGTAGTGTTATTCAAGGTCGTAAAGGGCTAATTTAACCGTAACTATATCAAAATTATCATGTCCAGTGGCGTCCCGGAAGGCACTGTAACCAATATTTTTGACAGAAAAAATGTGCGCCACTGATTTTTTTGCAATTTTTGTATTTGTTTCACATTAAGCAACTAAAATTACAACTTTTTTATATCTAAAATATTTTCGTATCTTGCTTTGTTTTTGAGAAAAAACATAAAAATCACTTCATTGCACATCCCTGTGACAACACAATAAAACATTTCAACTACTAAACCATCAAAAACTGGGGTATTTTTTCATATTAATACTCTATTCTAGTCTTGGAATTTTCTATCAAAATTAATGCAATGAAAAAACAAAAAATATGTATGTATGAATTGCAGCACTTGCCTTCGGCTCTTGGCTTCGGCTCGTCACAGGGATGTGCAATGAAGTGATTTTTATGTTTTCTCTCAAAAACAAAGCAAGATACGAAAAAAATTCTGAATATAAAAAAGTTGTAATTTTACTTGCTCAATGTGAAACAAATACAAAAATTGCAAAAAAATCAGTGGCGCACATTTTTTCTGTCAAAAATATTGGTTACAGTGCCTTCCGGGACGCCACTGGACATGATAGTTTTGATATAGTTAGGGTCAAATTAGCCCTTTACGACCTTGAATAACACTGCCAAATTTCAATAAAATCGGTTGAAGGGTTATCAAGATATTTACGAAAAAAACGATTTCTTTTAAAAATTTTGACACCCTGTATCTTGAAAACGAAGCATTACCGGACCTATGTTTATATGAACTTTTCGTCTTGGAATCACTCAAAGAATCACCCCTTCAAGTTTGGCCACGTACTTAAATAACACCCTGTATATTTAAATCATCAAAACTCATTGAAGTTTCATATATGTGGCATCAAAAAATGAATGAATCAGCTACTTTCTGGAATAAGTGGTGTTGCGTAAACGCATCAACGGCCTTTAGTGCTGTGATATTACCGGAAACAGTCGTCGGGTAAATAAACTGTACATCGCTCACAAATATATATTGTTTGACTTCTGCATACTTCTTCGGGAGTCAGTTCTGCTGATTACATGTCCAGAGTAATAAACCCTCACCTATTTTTAAATAGTGACCACCACCATTTTTTATCCATCCCACATATTCTATAATTTGCCACGCCATTGTCATGCAAATCTACCCCTCCCATGTGTTTATTATATGTTGAAATTACGGCTGGTTGTGGAATTGATACTTCTTTTTTCGCTTTTCTATCGTATTTTTTGACAGATGTCAGAGGTTCTACATGATAATGGGTACTGATTATCGTGACAATGAAATAACCGTTTCATTTTACTAATGAAATGTTTGTGGATTTGTGAATCATAGGTGCCCTTTCTTGTTATGAGATCATTTTACTTGGAACCAAAGGACATGTACTTGTTCTGTTTTCGCGAATCGTTTCTGTGGCGAAGAAACCTTCGGTTTTCTGAAGAGACAAAAGTTTGTAGGAGGAGAAGTGATTGAAAAAGGCGTTATAATTTTGCGAACTTTCCACAATTGACAAAAGTTCAACAACTACTGTTGCACCAAGTTCAATATCGGTTTTCTTTCCTGCTGCTCCTGCATAAGGAATGAACTTGTACAGGTATCCACTCGAAGAACAAATGTACCAAAGCTTGAATCCAAAACGGACAGGCTCGCTTTTTATGTACATCTTACAAAAATTATGTCCAAAATAAATGATTATTTGCTCGGTGTTCAATTTTATGATGTTTCTGGAAATGTAAGTATTGAAACTCTGAAAATGAAAACGGTCATACAAATATTGGATATTTCAAAATGTCGTTGCCATTTACAGAAAAAATCGATCTAACCCAAACCGCAAAAATATTCAAATGGAAAATATGCTTCAAATCTAATCCTGTATCAGCCCATATTTTGACCCAAAAAGCCTCCTATATTTTATAAAAAAACTATCAGTGCAATGTTGCGTATACGCATCACCGGTCATAAATCGGTTAATCATCTGTAATATATCATTAACCATTTATTCATCTCATATTCTGAACTTCAACCTCTTATCATTCAATTCAAATTCAACGAATAATATACTTTTCTTCGTGTTAACAACAAAAATAATATCTTCGATGCATCAAATCTGCAAAAATAATCTTACTAATACCTAACCTTCTGCATACCTATGATAACAAATGAAAATGACTGCTTGTTGTTGAACGAAAGTTGATAAAGGGAAAAAATCAATTCATGTGTTCTCTCAAAAAACACATATCGTTATTAAATGAGTTTCCTAGGAAGTTCTCATTTCCCAAATAGAGTTGAAATTTTATCACGAAGAGGAGTGAGGATTTTGAAAAAAAACCCGTTGTTGCAGTAAAATGATATTTCATTATAAAATAATTATTATTTAGTGAAAGTGATTGAACATTCGAAATTGATGGGTATTCGTCTTTTATTTGGAATATGGTAGCACTCTGTATAATCATTTGGAAACCTGGATTAGACATAATGTATGATGTATTCGAATTGGAGGTGAAATATCTGGCAGTCAGTAAAGTGAAATTTATCCAGCATATTCCAGTGCATCGTTCTTTCATGGTACTACCTCCAGGAAATATGATTTCTAACAACAATGTTGCCATCATGCAGCGATTCCCATCTCGAGCAATATGAATTGAATATAGGTCACGATGGGCCATGTGTTGAATTGCAAAAACTGAATATATCATATTTTTGGTGCTGAATTCGAAAATAAATACTTATTCCAAAAAACGATCAGACACTCATCTCTATATAAACTTCTATATGAGATTTTTTTTCTGTGAATATGTGTTGAAATATGTGCAATGTGAGTTTGTTGATGTTACATTTTCGAAATCAATGGTTCGAGGTGGTGGAGGGTTCTTTAAGTATGGGGTGTTCCTTATAATTGAGTGTTGGGTTGTATGTACATGAGCAATATTATTTTTCAAATTCTCCAGTTACACCTTCCTATATGATTTTTCTTAGGATAAAAAATATCTTGACAATTTTCTATATTTTTTGACTAGACATCGAACTGCAAAATATGTAGGAAAACAAAACTATACGTATATCAGGAACCAACAACAACAAATATAACGCTAACTGATGATAAAACAATACATTTGTGAACTGATAATACAGTAAGAATTTTCTGAACCTAATTTTCGGAATAGATCAACGTAAATTGAAGCATAAATGAATATATTTCTAAATATGTATGATGACTTAGGCCCCTTGCACACGAGCGTTATATTCGCCGGGCGGTTATTCCGCCGGCCGGCAGAAAAAATCGGGTATGGTTTGAACACGGGAGACGGTAGTAAGTGCCTCTGTCTATTTACGCAGTGCCGGATTAATTTTGAACAGTGGTGCACATGGATCTCCGCAAGAGAATTGTGGTTGCGTACGCTTTGCACAGACATCGAAAATATAAAAAGGCACGAGCTAGGAAGTTGTGGATTCATCCATTAATGGAAGAACGAACAGCAGTGGGAGCATTTTACACATTATTCGTTCCGCTAAGAGCAGACGAGAAGAAATTTTTCAATTATTTTAGAATGTCGATTTCATCCTTTGACTATTTACTAAACAAAGTAAAAGGCCATATAAGTCATCAGGATACAAATATGAGACAGAGCATTCCACCAGAAGAAATGTTAGCAGTGACAATCAGGTAAGTGTGAATAAAAAGGTAATGCAATAACTTTAATGTAGGTTTATCTATTGAACGAAATAACATTTTAAGTTTACATCAGAAAACATATTATAATTAACAAAAATATAGCAACTCTGAAATGCTCTAAAATAATTCAACAAACGTTAATGAAACTCTGAAAATGCCAATAATATAAACGGAAACATTTGTAAGCTTTCAACAATCTACCTGATAAGTAGGTGAATGTAAACCCACTAGATCTCCTTGTATAAGAAATATCAAAAGGCGATTCGCACTGAGAGTTGGAATCTTGAGGATGTGGTTGTGTTTGTGATTGCAGGTGATAGTTGTATTGGGGTTGTATTTGTGCTGCAGGTAGATGCTGCATCTGATGTTGAGGAGGGACAGGGAATTGTTGCACTTGGGAGACGTATTGTTGGCTGGTCCAAGTAGTATGTCTCGATACGGGATCGTTTTTGTGTTTAATTTGTTTAATGAGTTGTAGAACCCCTAATCGAAATTCTAATTTTTGCTCATCGTCAAATCGGGCCATCGTTGGTAATAACGAATTTAGAAAGGATTGATCTTCATTCAGGTGTGGCTGTGAAACCGGAGTTTCTAAGTAATTCAGCAATCTGGATTCAAAATCGTCGATTCCTCTTCTTTTTGCGCCTTTTGATGGAACTTTCGATCCCGAAACACGTGATGTAGATGTTGAAGCCTGAGTGGTTGATGTAGATGATGACTGAATGGAAGCTGGTGTATCGGGTGCGCTGTCAATAGTATCTGAATCGTCAAGTTGCGTCAATTCCTCATCAGCTACGTAACTCGAAGTTGTTTCGGCCTGTGTGATCGTTTTTGTAAGAAACAATAATTGGTCGTAAAAAATGTATTTTCGGATTTTTTTACATGCCGACCCAGACTTTACCTCCTTTGTTTTTTTATGGCTTCTGATGAAATTGTCTCTTATATTAACCCATTTCTTGGATACTAGTTTACCTACAAAGAACGTGTAATTGTTATATTTCGTATTTTTATAGGTATTTGGCTACAGGAGCAACATTTACTGATCTACACTACTCATACAGACCGGGAATATCGACAATACGAAAATTTGTTAAAGAAGTTTGTAAACAAATTTGGGAACAAATGTTGGTAGAATGTATGCCCACACCATCCGAAATATTATGGAAAGAAAGGGAATCAGGATTTTCGCGTCGTGCAAATTTCCCTAATTGCGTAGGAGCCGTAGACGGGAAGCACATACGCGTAATTAAACCGAATCACAGTGGTTCAATTTTTTTTAATTATAAACACTATTTTTCAATTGTCCTCATGGCAGTTGCTGATACTAATTACTGTTTTACTTATGTCAACATTGGAGCCTACGGAAAAGATTGCGATTCTTCTGTTTTCAAAGAAACTGATTTTTGGAAATCCCTGTGTGATGGTTCTCTAGGATTAGCGAATCCAAAAGCGCTGCCCCAGACGGAACATCCTCTTTTACCTCTCGTTTTCGTGGGGGACGAAGCTTTTGGTTTAACTGAATGTTTACTTCGGCCTTTTGGAGGAAACAAATTAACACGGGAACAGAAAATATTTAACTATCGCTTGTCTAGAGCCAGAAGATATGTGGAATGTACATTTGGCATCTTAAGTAACAAGTGGCGAATTTTCCATCGAGCAATGAATGTATCACCTGAGTTTTCAATTGATATAGTCAAAGCGTGTTGCATATTACACAATTTCGTGAGGGTCAGAGATGGTTATCAAACTGAAGACGCTCTTCATACAGAAAATCTTGAAGATGTTCCCAACCAAATCAACATACGTGGGACAAGAACAGGACAAACGGTTCGAGAACAATTTGCACAATATTTTATGAGCGCAGAAGGATCGGTTCCTTGGCAGTTAAGCAAGATATAGTATCGGTTTATAATAATAAAATAAAAAACAAATACATGCTTACATTTTTCTGCCTTCGTTTTTTCATCCTCCCCCTCAAAGTTCTCAAACAAATAACAGCATATTTCCTCCCAAGCATTCCTTGTCTTCTGTCTATCTTTAAACTCTTCGGTGGTCTTGTCCCACAAAACCGGCCTTTGCTCCACCGCGGTAATAAGCAGTTCAATATCGACCTCTTCTTTGAGCTCCATCTCTTGCACTATCTGCACAAATACTGACCTGTGCACCAGCGAACGCTACAAATTTTGCGATCGTGTGCAAACAAGTATAAACTCGCATGCTTTCAGACGAACCGGGCTGCAGTTCTACCGGCCGGTTGCCGTGTGTCGCCAGATTCGATTTTAATTTGACCGGTAGCCGGGCGGTTAATTTGCCGGTGCCGCTCTGTGTGCAAACCCCTATATAATATATTGTATTTAAATATTCCACGGTTTTTCTGCCGGCCGGCGGAATTGCCGTCCGGCGGATACACCGTTCGTGTGCAAGGGGCCTTAGGGTGGCACGAAGTAAATATTCCAGTTATGATACAGAGTGTAGATGATTTCGTCCATCATTATGATATTATTGAATATAATGAGGTAAAAAAATGGTGAAAAAAATTATCACTCTTTTCCAAGAAGTTCTCTGAATTTTGGCTGCATTCGTTGTTAGAAAGTCAGATTTTTCCCCATGAAACTGGTTAGTCGCGACAAAGGTATTTTCACAATCAAATTCTTCACATGCTCCGATTTTTGGGACTATTCAAATCTTTTAATCAACAATCTTCGACGTTTAACATGGTTAATTCGTGGCATAGTGAAATATAATCGAAAATAATAATGAAAACACTTGAATGAATTATTCTGCGGATGTTCCCAACCAGCCTGATATAAGTTTCTTTCGCATGAGCACATAGTTCACAGCATCAGCACATAACACGAAATATGTTCTCGAAGGGAATATTATGTAATGGTAATTTCCACCAGTCTCATAGCAGTTTTGCCTGCACAACCACATGGTTGTCACCGCCATTGCATAATATAAAAATGAATGTGTTTGAGAGTGGAAAATATCAGCTTGATGTGTGCTGGCTGACTATTTACTCCGAGAGTTGAATAGGTAGCCCGCCTATATCAGAACAAGCATATGATATTTTATCAATCCTTTGCGGTTCCTCAATTCCCTAATTTTCAAGAAATTAATAGTTTTATTCACTCATTGAGCATCTACTATCCAACGTTTTTGAACAAGGGAAAAAGAGAAAAGAATTATATTCTACTGTTATATTTCACTCAGGTCCATTATGAAGAATTTAGCCTCAGGATTCGAAACAAGGCGCCTCCACCATGTGTCACGACCACAGGGCCTCTCCTCTCTGGCTACATGATCTTAAGAGGTTATGCTTGGCAGCATAAGGCTATGCTTGGCAGCAAGAGGGTGACTGAACTACTACACACCGTAGCTCGGTAGTAGCAAGGAAAGAGTGTATGTCTTGTTTGGCAAAAATTGACATTCATTAAGTGATGAAGAACAGTGAACACAGTGAGCAATGATGAGAAGGAAGTTCTGAGTTGAAAAAATGTCAAGTGAAGTGGATAAACTAGAGTGGCCCAATGGCTACACCTTCTAGTGGAAATCGTATATCCCTGGATCTGACTGTCAAAGTAGCTAGACATAAGTACGAGAGCCGTACATGGTAACAGAACAACTTTCTTCATACAAAAAATATGCGTTATTACAATGTTCAAATAATTGCTGCTCCGGTGGATGAGGAGATGCGTCTTTCTGGTACCATAGTACTAAGGGCTAAGGTTACCCCAGAAACTACCGTTCTCACTGAGTATCGACCGATTATCGACTCTCCTACGTTCTGTCCCGAAAAATCAATTCTCATACTGTTTTATAGCCGATATTTGTCGAGTAAGCATAATCAGCAATAAACGGGTTAACTTTTAAGTTCAATGAATTTTGCCTGAATAGCTGTGAAATATGAGCTAGGTTCGAATTACGTATATGTGAATGACTCTTATAATTATTATCTACTGAGGACTTATATTTTCCATGATGAATATTTCCTAATGAATTGAATAAATTAATCCTTTGGTATATCAGGTGTGACAATATCTCCAATGTAGATGTTGTCACATGGGACTCTTTTCCATCCTTATATTTGAATGCTGTTACATTGGAGAAATACATTCGAATTTTTTCTGCAATTTGACGACGTTAATTTACTTCGGATGAATTACTAACTGATGAGGACTGCTTATAAGGTTCTCGATGTGTAGTTATTTCATTTCACAAATTTTTGTTACATTGGAGGTATTCGCAGCCCGGCGACGATATATCTTATCTTTCGATTTCACTTGATAAATATCTTCATTGAGTGTTTCACAACACAAATCCAAAATTGAATCATGCTTGAAAAAATACTTATTTCTTTCTTGGAACCTTCCCAACGTCCATTTATCATATCGATTATTTTCTTAACATGAAAATGCTCAAAGTTGGAGGTGAGAAAATCGAATAATTGTACAATGCTGAATGCTCTTTGCCGTACTGATATTTTATCTTTCAATATCCTGAACATCGATTCTGCATAATTGTTGGTTTCATTACCACGAGTCAAAAGTTCAGCTCGGTAACACATGGCCCATACATTTGATGTTTTCATCATCATCATATACATCTAAAAATTCCTCTTGAATCATGTCTATTCATATTGCGTGAAGCATCCACAAACATAACTTCAGCTGAAACGCGTATATATTCATGGACTCTTTTCATGATAGGTGAACAAACTGCTATCACCAAATTTTCTGATGCATCCATGATGGCACATGTATCATTGCATTGACTGTTGTATTCTATAATAGCTTCTTCCATTGAATTTACCATTTCAATGCCAGTTGGATCTCCATACTTCTTTTTGAGAATCTGATAATGAAGATCATACACCCATTTCTACGTGGGACACCTATGCCCATCAGCTACTACTTCGTTATACATTATACTTAACCATTATACGAGTCTCTTCAAACAATCTATCTTTGAACATGCTTCGAGCTGTTGATGGAGATTGACCTTTTCCAAAAAGTACTATTGATTCTTTCTCAAGATTTTTCGATGGTGGTCTGAATTTTAGAGTTGCTGAGCTGTATATAGCATGATTGCGGTTGTGCCTTAATATACTTCCAAAAGGAAATTCTTTTAAATAGGCATCCTGACTTTTGAGAAAAAAATACATCAATAACAGCATATAATAAGGCATGATAATAGATAAAACCATGTTATATGTGCGTAGCAAAAACTAAATTGAAGAAATCACATGTCATCGTTTTTATTAAAAGAAAACAAGAATAGTGCAATTTTTTTTGTTAACAACTTTCTATGCATAAAAATGTTAAATTATATGTGTTGTTCGGCATCTCTCGAGGTTTACAACGAAGGGATGTGCTGACTGGGCTTGTCTAGTTCGTCTAACTGGTATTCCTAGCGAAGGGATGATAGCAGATAGTTCCGAAGAAGATTTCCCGTTGAAGTATCGATTGAAAAGTGGAAGGTCGCCAACCTTTCTACGGTGTTCCAATGATGTCAAAAAGTGAGTGAGTGTGGCGTCACCCACCAGGCGAATGGCTCTTCTCTGGATGGAATCTAAGAGCATCAGCGCATGTTTTGGTGCTGAACCCTATATGTGGGACCAGTATTCTAGAACAGGCCGTATCTGCGCACTTTCCTGCATGGGAAGGAAGATACAACAGTGTTTACAGAGAGGACACATTTTTCGTCTGACTATCCGTTTTTGTTTCAATGTCATTTGGACACATATGTATGTTTTATCGTTGAAAACAAGTAGAAAAAATTATAATGGAGCTGCACAAAGAATATGATATCATTACATGTGAGGCGGGTCCCACGAAACTGGTAGTCATTCGTGATTCGATCACCTAACAGCTTGGTATGAAAATAATTTTTCTACAAAAATAACTATTAATACAGATTGAGAGAATATATTTTATACTTGGTTATCTTTTTATGTTCTTTTTCTTGACAGTCAAGGTTAATTTCGCATTGCAATTCAAATGCTGCTCATGGTCTGGTGTTATGTATGCAGCGGTATTTTTTTGTAATAAACATACTGTGTAATGAATAAAACTGACACAATGTCATCAAATTATAGTTCAAAGTGAGTATAATAGTATCCAAACTCTTAACATAATAGGTAGGTGAAAATGCATTTTATACCTTGAAATTAATTTCCTGGGTATTTTGATCAACTCTGAAAGTAATTCTACTTTTTTTCTAAAAGCTAGCTAACCACTGTAAACCATCATCCTCATTATCCACATCTAACCGAATGGTGGCAGAAAAACCATTTATCAATGATTCTGTCTTTTTAGCAAAGCCCTCACCATCTTCCATAGTTAATATCAATCACAAAATAAATTCAGTTGATGAAATGAGGCAAGTGAAGTATGCAAACTGATTATTCTTATTCACATAGGTACTCACAGTTCTGCTGTGCCCAACATTTCTAATTTTCGTAAAATCCATAGATTATAGTTTGTCCAGGAGAAGTAATATGGAGTAATTATTCATTATAATAAAGTATTTGATGTTTATCGTTTTTCGTTTTTTACTTAACTGCTCAAAAACTTCTTGTTCGCTCGACTCGACACTTGACAGAAAAGGTCACGTGACCGATTTGACCAACCACACGCTTAACCATAACACGAATCTACTAGGAATAAAAATGTCACGCTGTTAGGATGTATGGATAGGTGCCATATTTGAATAGATACCCCCAAAAAAAAAAGTTATTCAAGTAAGAGCTATGATGGCTATCATGTTCATTTTCTGTTCAATGTTCTCTTTTAGATGCAAGATATTTGTGACAGTAAAAGAAGAATGAGAGATTCATTTATAGGGTATCTAGGTTCTGTGCATGATAGCAGTATTCACGAATTCACCTATCTTTATCCTTTTTTCCGAAATGTTTCAACTCCATATAGAGACACAGGAGTGTTGACGCCAGTAGAAAAACATTTCAACTAAACTTCAAGCCACTGTAGAGTGGTTCTAGAACATACATATTTTGGTATCCTTAAACAGAAATTTAGACAACAGTACCACGTGAAATTAAGAAGAATTGAAACATAATTTGTCATATTATAAGAGCTTGTTGTGTTTTATATATAATTTGGGTATCAATGATGATGCTGACATTGATTGGAATTTCAACGAATATCATCGAGGGGTAAACATCAACTCCAGTGAAAAGTATACACCGTAATCAATACTCAATAAATCAACTGTTCTCAACGTATAATCAAATGTATTCAAATTTAATCAAATACTCAAAATTTAATCAACATCTCAAATTTAATCAACAAGTCCCAAGTCTACGTCTCAAATGTAATCAAAATGTCTCAAAAGTAATCAATTTACCTCAAATGTAATCAACTCATCTCAAATGTAACGAAAAACGTCTCAAATGTAATCAGAATAATCAAATCCATGAGGAAAAGTCTAGAAAGTGAAGTCATACAACTATCAGACTATTTGGATTATTTACCACATCTATTTCTATGACAGAAGTTGTGTTCATTGGTTTTCTAGCAACTGAACCAAGTTCAGCTTGAACGGAGTTTATATTCGTTTCTACAACCGGCCCTTCATAAGTCAAAATCGTCTATGAGTAATTACTCGACGTAAGTAGCTATATTACTCAAGTATACCTTTCAGAAAACTTCAGTTAAAAAATTTCAACTGAAGCGATATCAAGACCAGATGAATTATTATGGAAACTTCATATTCGACATAACTCCAAATTACCTTTATAAACAAACTGGTATAAACATGAAATGAAAAATATGAACAAGAAATGTACTCAACATTATACATATATCATATTCATCAGTACCCATCAATATCCAAAGCATTCGGAAATACATATTTCAACCGATCGCTGGCAACTAACAACTCAGGAATTGGTAACTAAGCTATTATTTGGTCAAAACCAATGTAGCTCATATCATTTTCATTGGGTCTAAATAACTTCTTATCGTTATTACATGAGGGCGACTACTTCTTCGTGATTCGTATCGATAACCGTATGAATGGCGCCAACCTATTTGTAACTTTTTTTTTCGTCCTGGAAACTGAACAACAACGGAATCTCCTTCTTTGCAAACATATGGAACAAAACTGGGTTCTTCCAGTGGTGGAAATAAATGTGTGGGTGACAGTATTGGTTGATTTATCCAGAGTTTTCAAGTCCCCTCACTCTAAGCAGTCTGTCCGAACTCACCCTCCCCCTTTTTTCTGAAAGAAGCCAACAAAAACATGTTTTTTTAATTATGGTTGGTTTTCCATCAATCTGTATTTAAATATATGCGGCTACATTTGTGATCGCTGGATAATTTTGCAAATTGCAATATTTTAGATGAACAGGTGAGGTTCTTTGATACTTTAGTACTATTTATATGCATTTTAGGTTCCTACTTCGTATTTATTTGTTGTTCATTCATTCATGTTTTCATTGCGAATGTAATAGGCAATTATACTTTCTTCTACTAAAATGGATGAAACTTGTTTTTAGATGAAATATTCAAATAAAAAGCAAATCAGAAACCCTTCGAATTGGAAGAGGACTTCTGAACACATGCATACTAGAGGAGTACTAAACACCTATATCAGAAAATGAATTGGTCGACATGCTGGAGAAAATATCAGAATGAGGTCACAGGACTCCAAATCACGGGAATAGTGGAGTCATTTGCCACCCTGTTATCTGAAAAATCAGAAATTTTTATGGCTTGGATTTTGGATATTTTTCATGAGGACAATATATCCAAAAGGTATTCTGACTTAATGACTATCAAAAACAATCATTATAAATAATAAGTTCTATCATTCCTTCATACTGTAGATGAAATTTAGTTTCATTATATTCGTCTAAAAATATTAAATTCACATATCACACATTGATTATGAATCTTGGATTTTGGATAAATTTGTATGAGTAGAAAAATGTTTTCAATATTATGTCAACACCCTCTACTTACAAACCACTGACTTCAAGGATCAACGTTCTAGTATATTCAGAGACAAGACAAATATATTTGAAATATAGTTTTTTTTTCATAGGAATTTCATTTCCAGAATATTTGACATTTAAAAAAAACAAAAATTTTTTACCTTGCCAATTTAATTCTTTGTGCAATACAAACATAAAATGCCAATACAGTATTCATTAATTCAAGTATAATAATATTCCGGTTGACTTTCCATTCAATGAAATATGTTGATTCTATTTAATAAAGAATTTGAAAAAAATACGAGGAACTAAAATATTATATACCTAATGTGATTAGTATAAATGTGTAGATTTCCTAACAGAATTCACAATGTCAAAAGCAAATCCTTCGCAATGCTTCCACTTATTTTCATGTTTGTCCATTATTCCAAATAGTGAATTTTTCAATTTTATTTCCAATTCAACAGTCTCCTGTTATACAAAACTCAATTGGTTAAATTCCACAGCCAGTTCACTCATAGTCATGATGGTATGTGATGAACTGCCTGTTTCTTGTCCATACCTATCTTCATCGCCATTGTTGATTCCAGTTTTTGTATTTCTTGTCTATGGAAAAATATAGTCCTCATTTTTCAACATTACAGGCTTCAATTGAACAGGAAATATATCTCTCAACATAGTTTTTGCTCATTTATATAAGTTTCCTGTACAAAAAGCATCACACTTCACCTCAGCTAGTTTTAAACTCATTTTGTCCAACCTTTCTTTCATTTGTGAATCCTCATTGCTGTCGAGAATTATCTGAGATAGGTGTTCTTCTTTCTGCTAGGGAATTCAGAGTCAGGATCAGTTTCGTCATTTAATGAAGCGGGTTCACCTGAAAATAATAAGAGTGATGTTCAGAAAAATCAAAATAGCTATAGAAGTTCAGCAGACACCAAATTGGAATCGCAGGTTGAGAGTGGTCCATAATTAACATATAACATAACTCATGATTCCTGCATAATTATACTTATGATGGACTTACCTTTCATGAAATGTCTGCTACAGACTCTCTGATGGGTACTACATCTTTGAATTATTAAGATCATCTCATTCAATTATTGCAGATAACATTTTTCTCTTCTCTTCCTGGATAAGTCACTTTTACTGGTCAAATTTTTTTTTTGCAATTGCATTACCTCGTTGGTCCCAGCACTTGGACCAAACGCCCCATAAGTCGAAACTTGTGCGGTGTTAGGAGAGCATACAAACACAAACATCCATGGCCTAACTAGGATTCGAACCTATGTCTCGGTGGGAGTCCCCATACGAACTCAGCGCATTCACGCTCTCGACCACCGAGCCGCCAAATACTTGTGATTTAGGGTCTCAGGGACCCAGTTAAACCCCACTTCATCCCTGTCATAGCATGACCAAGATTCATACTACTACTAATGCATGTATGAGGCATTTTACATCAGCATAACCTGTAAACTCTGGCACAAGGTCCAGAACAGACGAGAAGCAAGTCTAACAAGTACAGGAAATCACAAAATAAAACAGTTCGCCTCTATAATCCCTATGATCAACAGATGAATTTTCATAAGCAAATAACCTGTATCACTGATATAACGAGTCAAATCTTGAAGAACAATGAAAGTATGAGGCATATACTCCAATTTGAAGCACGAATGTTTGTCTATGATCAAAAAAACAAGTCCAACACCACACATTGGCAATCACAAGAAAAACAGTTTTATCACTACAGTCACATATGACAATATCCAATATGTGCCAACAGCCGCCATGTTGCTTTTCGTTTGACAGGTCTTAGACAGGTCGCTGAATTGCCTTATAACAACAATGGCATGTGGGAGGCCGGTTTTCTAATGTATGAAGGTTATATTACTTTTGTGTGTATGAAAAATTGAGATTCATCATACAGGGCTTGGAAAGAAATTATGAATTGAGACTCTATCACGAATCTGCGATTAGAGGTCTATAAAAATCACAAGTTTCCATCGTTCAAGTTTGAACCTCCTGATTGGGTATGAAAGTGTTGAAAAAGAATATTCTCAGATGAATTATGGACATACAAAAATAAATATATATTCATATGAAGCAATACATTGAGAATTGGCATTCTCTATGTGATGAGAATATCTACTCTTTTTCAGTTTATTCAATAGAAAACAACTACTTTCCTGGCTATATGCCACGACGAACATTGAATTATATTTATTGAACATACACGATAAGAGTTTGAAGATAAAATATAAAAACTTCTGAAATTTGCATTCTCCTTCAGACAAAAATATATGAAGGTTATATTAGTTGCTTTCTTTCCGGCCGTCGGTGTAAATAGAGGGAACAAGCTCTTTTAGGTTAGAAATCGAGATTG